AGCCCGCCAAATCTTTTTAAAAACTATATATTGGAAAAAGCTAAAAGAGAAGCTTCAGATATACTATTTAAAATTTCTGGAACAAGCGCTATAGAGGGAGTGTACAATTTAAAATACACTATGGAGTACTCTGGAAAGATACGCAATATAGGACAGGATCCATTTACAGTTTTTTATTGGTCGAGAGAACAAATGCTTTTATTCTCTAAATTTTATGAAACTCTTGTTATAGACGCAACGGGAAGTGTAGTTAAACCAATACCACTACCGAACAATGAACATTCGTCTCATATATTTTTATTTCAATCGGTTATAGATCAACAAACGTGCGGTTCCTGTGCGTCAAATGCTTACTACGATCAAAACAACAGTTACAATAATGAACTGGTTTTTGGAATTACAAAGATTGTGCCAAATTGAAGAAAATAAAACACCGATTCCAAACGAAATTATTTGTGATTTTGTCAAAGCGCTTTTGGGTGCCGCGGCTCGCGTTTATTCAAAATCAAACAGTTTACCACATTATGTTGAAACATGTTTCGAAATAATTAAGGGTAATTCAAAAATATTTCCGCCGTGTTTATTACGCTTGGATATATGCCACTTCACCAATATAATTGCCAGATGGAAATGTTATTGGTAATAATTTGCTAGATCAAAATTTTTTGCCTTCTCAATATCGGCGAAATGAATCGCATCGCCTTATTCAAACAATAGGTGATAACAGCCCGCCAAATCTTTTTAAAAACTATATATTGGAAAAAGCTAAAAGAGAAGCTTCAGATATACTATTTAAAATTTCTGGAACAAGCGCTATAGAGGGAGTGTACAATTTAAAATATACTATGGAGTACTCTGGAAAAATACGCAATATAGGACAGGATCCATTTACAGTTTTTTATTGGTCAAGAGAACAAATGCTTTTATTCTCTAAATTTTATGAAACTCTTGTTATAGACGCAACTGGAAGTGTAGTTAAACCAATACCACTACCGAACAATGAACATTCGTCTCATATATTTTTATTTCAATCGGTTATAGATCAACAAACGTATGGTTCCTGTGTGTCAAATGCTTACTACGATCAAAACAACAGTTATAATAATGAACTGGTTTTTGGAATTACAAAGATTGTGCCAAATTGAAGAAAATAAAACACCGATTCCAAACGAAATTATTTGTGATTTTGTCAAAGCGCTTTTGGGTGCCGCGGCTCCCGTTTATTCAAAATCAAACAGTTTACGACATTATGTTGAAACATGTTTCGAAATAATTAAGGGTAATTCAAAAATATTTCCGCCGTGTTTATTACGCTTGGATATATGCCACTTCACCAATATAATTGCCAGATGGAAATGTTATTTGAAACACCAAGGTGGCGTTCGCGCTCTGTATATAAGAGCAATGTGTATCATGAGAAAACAAGAGTCCTTTGCGGATATGCACAATGTATTTGTTGCAATTCTGATATTATGCCTGCACAAAAATGGCATTTCAAGCAAAGGAGTTCTCTCGATCGAAACTCAAAGGGATACCAACCGAAGTAGCTACCAATATAATTGGCGAAGACAATTTGGGCAATGCTGATGATGACAAAGAAATGGACATTGAATTTGAGGAGCAAGCGGAATCGTCGAATCTGTATAATTACATCGCACATACCTATGCGGAAATTGAAGAAAAGGCCAGAAAGGAAATAACGGATATCGATGATGATGTCAATGGATACATGTTGCCCGAATTCGCATAAAAATTAAAAAACCTAATGCCATACTTTCCTATATTCACGGAAATAATGCGAAGTGTTAGAAAACGCGGTAACGTAAATGCAACAGCGGCTAGAGTGGAGTCATATTTTAACGATTTGAAGCACCAACAGTTTCGAAATATTGGTCTGCCTCTTCGTGCTGATAAATTTATAGCAAAACACTTGAAAGAAATAGAAAAAAACTCTTAAAAAGCTGCATGTGGAAGTATGGCTAGAAGAAAAGAGGAGCGGATTGTAGAACAGGATATCCTCATACCAACGATTGCCTTTTCCACACCAAAAGATTATGTCTCATCATACGACTCTAATCATCGGGAGAAAATGGAACAATTTCTCCAAAAAAGATCCAGAACTTACTTTCGAAATGGATTGGCGTGGTAAAAATAAGCGAACAAATTTAAGTTCCACATTACCGAAAACAGCGTCATCATCGCAATCAATAGTCCTATTAACATCAAACGAAAGGCATCATCGTCCGATAGCGATTTACCAGAAGTATCACACTTCAAGAAACTGAAAAAACGTGTCTCTAAAACTTCTAAAAAGAAAATTCCAAGGTACGGAGAAATTTTCCCACAACTTGAATCCAGCATTACAAAGCGCTGAAACTTTTTGCAGAAGTCCCAAGTTACACTCTAAAATACAGCTGCAATGAGTGCAATTTTTCGACAATAGATGCATCAATACTGGCCCGAATACATCTACAAAAATTGTTGATAGTGGGCTTAGTTCACTGGTAGATGCTTTATATTTCCGAAACGATTTTAGAAAGGAATACTATGACCGGAGCATGATATCAACGCACAGCTACAGTCCACATCTTCTGATAAGTGTAGATACTGGTTTGTACAGAGTAACACCTATATCCGACATCTCAGGCAACGTCATAGTTCCTGGAGGACCGGCGTACAAGATGGCTGGATTCGTCGCTTATTACGGAGTTTATGAAAATACATAAATCGGTCATTATACAGCATTCGTTAAGGTTGGATGCCAATGGATACAATACGATGATACTTCCACAAATAAATCTCCAGAAAGAGTAGACGAAAGCACAACGGTTGATCCACAACTACTATTTTACACGAAAATTGATGAAAGTAAATGTTGAACATTTAATAAAATAATTTATATTAACAAAAATGGTTGTTGGCATATTCATTTATAATAAAATTTTATTATATAAACGTATATAGATATAATGTATATCTATATCTATAAAAGAGGAAAATGTTTGTATGTTAGTTTTTTCGTTATTTGTGGACTCGGAAACCGCTGCCCAGATTTTTCTGAAAATTTCCAAGTATACTACAACATCGCCTAAAAGTAACATAGGATATATAAATTTTTGAAATTCCACTTGGAACAAGAGATAAAGCATCAGAATCAGAGGTACCTCCCAAAAATTTAGAATTTATATGCGCATATCTATCGATCGATTACAGATACAGTCTCCAAATTTAGAATGAGTGACGGGATTTGATCAGAAAATATATTTGCCAAATTATATTGAAATCGGTTCAGATTTGGATATAGTTCCATTATATATATATTTTCGGTCGATTTCATGTATTTGATGCATTAAACACGCTGTGTTCGCCACATTTGAATGAAATTTGCAATATGTGATGGAATTGATCTAAACAAGTAAAAAGGTAGTATGTTAAAAATAAAATCCATTGAAAATTCTGTTAAAATCTTTAAAATGACTAATATCGAAATGTAGGAAGGCCGATATATGGGGGGATATACAATATTGTGGACCTATATAGACAAATCTATGTCTAGGGGTAAAGTATTCACTAGGAACTCACTGTGTGGATTTTCAGATAATTCCATTGGGAAATGTGGCTAAAATCATCAAAATCCCGAATATCGATGGTGCCATTATATGGGGGATATTCGATATTGTGGAACTATGTAGACAAATCCCTTTCAGGGGTTAAAGTGCTCAGAAGGAACTCCTTGTGTGCATTTTCGGACAATACCATTAGAAAATATAGCTAAAATCATCAATATGCCGAATATCTTGATATTTGAATTTTTACAAAAATTACAGAAATTTTTCTTTATATATGTATTTTTCCAATTTTAACTAGTAACGAGTGGAAATACAAATTTTCAATGTATGGACGAAAAATTGTGCTAGGTTAGCACAAATCGGCATAACTTTTAGTTTTTCGATATCTTGTTTCTAAACATGCGATTTTGATTTTTACTATTTTAACGTGTAACGAGTAGAGATAGAAATTTCCAATGTATGGACGAAAAATTGTGCTAGGTGAGCACAATTCAGCACAATTTACCGCACCTCGATATTTGCAAAAAATACAGCACTTTTTCTGAAAAATACTTGTTTTTTCGATATTGCCATATCTTGAAAGGTTGAAGATATTGAGAAAAAATAAACGGCACAAGTTAGCCCAAATCAAGCACGACCCAACACAACTTTGTTTTTTTCGAAATTCGAAAATTGCAATTCTGCTATTCATTTCGCCGATATTGAGAAGGCAAAAATTTTTATGTAGCAAATTAATACCAACAGCTTCTCGCAAAGAACCGCGAATGGACCTTTTTTTTAAATGCCTTACATCGCAATCAAAATAGGAAATGATACATTCCATTTTAATTGGTTCCTTGTCTAAAGGTTCCGTATATATATATATATATATATATATATATATATATATATATATATATATATATATATATATATATATATATTGTTGTTGCAAAATGGTCTGGCTTTATCCCTTTATTGTTGTTTTTATAAAAACAACGTTTGTTTATTAGTGGAGAACGATCTCGTCACTTGGGTAAAAAAATGTTTTTTGTCATAGAAGTTATTTTTAAAATAACTTCTGGGGAGAATATCCCAGACAAAAACAAGGGAACTGATGAGGATTGGTGGCTCCTTCCGAAACCTAGGTATTCCCTGCCTTACCCCCTGGTAAACATTACCATCGTTATCCACTAATAAACAAACGCTGTTTTTATAAAAACAACAATAAAGGGATAAAGCCAGACCATTTTGCAACAACAAAATACTACGGTATCCCGAACAAACAAGCCACACTGTTCTATTAATAGACAAGGCACGGTCGACGAAGGGGTTTTTTGTTGTAACAGACAAAACCAACTTACATGGTTATGCTACTTCGTTCAGGCTGAACGAAAGCATAACAAGTGGAGAAAGATGTAAATGTTTATAAGTGCGGTTGTAAGATTTAGGCCCGTTATTACATCTTCCCGATAGATTAAAAAGTGATGTTGTCGGACAGATAAATCGTTTTTCGTTATTACAAGTGCCATTTAAATATGAACTGTCCGATAAGCAAAAGGTCAGGCCAGCTTCCCTTTATCTTTTAACGTAAAGTTTACTGAATTCATGTTGCCATATTTTATATTGATAATATGGCAATAACAGCAATATTTATTCAAATAAAAAAATGGATAACGCCAATCGTTTATTTTATATTGAAGAACTGGAAGATATTTACGCAAACATTGAAGCAAAAAAAAGAGCGGCCAAGACATATCGTGAACGAGTGGATTATCTACAATTTTATGATGAAAGGGAGTTTATGAAAAGGTTCAGAATTTCAAAAGGCACATTCCAATTACTATTACAAAAAGTTGGCCCTTCATTACAAGCAAAAGTGTCAAAGTGTGTATAAATATATAACATAAATCGAATAATTACTAACCAATTTCCATTTAGGCAATATTCCGTGTCGCCTAGAACAAAGCTACTGATTACATTAAGGTTCTATGCTAGCGGTAGTTTCCTTATTACGGTTGGCGACTTTTGTGGTGTAAGTGTCTCTACTGCCAGTCGTTTAGTGAAAGAAACGTCGCATGCTTTAGCATCAATGGCCAAGGAATACATTAAATTTCCCTTTGACGCAAAAGAAAAGCAACAGACATCGTCTGAATTCTTTGCGATAGCGAAATTCCCAAAGGTTATTGGAGCTATTGATTGCACACACGTCCGCATTCAATCGCCAGGAGGAGATAACGGAGAGATTTTCCGCAACAGAAAAGGATACTTCTCATTCAATGTTCAAGCTGTGTGCAATGCTAAACTTATGTTCCAAGACTTAGTGGCAAGATGGCCAGGATCTGCACATGACAGCAACATTTTCCAAAATAGCCGTTTAAAATTTCGATTCGAAGAAGGTCATTTTCAAAATTATGTTCTTCTCGGAGATTCTGGATATAAACAATGCAAATACATGATGACTCCATTGCTAAATCCATGCACAGGACCTGAAGCTCTTTATAACGAATCTCAAATTCGCACACGTAATACTATTGAGAGATGCTTCGGTGTTTGGAAGAGACGTTTTCCAGTACTATCAATGGGTCTTCGTTTGGCTACCTCAACAAAAATGTCAGTTATCGTGGCATGTGCTGTACTTCACAATATAGCCATAATTGAGAAGGATCTACTTCCGCCAAACGAGACCAACCTAGTACCTGAAGATGATTTATCCGATTATTCGGGAGAAACTCAAGTTTCATCTCAAGCTAATTCAATTGCAAGGACCATTTTGATTGAAAACTATTTTACAAAGTATATTAATAAGAGCGGGTGTTTGACTAAATTTTTTTAAAACGATAGCGTGCTATTTTATGTCCTTTTGTGTGCAAACTCGATTTATGTTTTTGTTTGCGCTTTTCTCGAAGATAAGTAGGTTCAATTGTTCAAGTAATATTTCCAAATGTACGAGGCTGGACCACAAACTAGAGATTTTTCATCCCAACCTCCCTCCAATCAAGTAACATTTCTTAAATTTTTTTCTTATACTTGGAAACGTCTTTTTTCCAAAGGCTACGATTATGCGCTTTGTAATTACATTTTCATAGTCACATAACCTGTGTTACGCTGTGTATATAAAAACTTCACAGCGCAACTTATAGTAACTATTGCTTCGCTGTACATCTGTCAAAAAAAGCCAATAAAAATAACACCTACTACGTACATTGTGAAGCCAGCGTTTGAATTTTCGGTGCTGTGGAACATAGACCAATTAATGTGCCAATTGATTTTTTGAAATTACCAATTGATGTGATATTACAATTACATTTGCTTTGGAAAAAAATCGGGTGCTATCGTTGCTGGGAGCACAGCAAATTCAATCACTGTTAAACGATTCCGTTTTAAAAGATTTTGTTAGACAAATTTAATTGCAATTCAGTTTTTATTAAACATTTCTAATCTATTTTCAGTCTTTTAAATGCTGAATAGCTAATAATATTACTTTTAATTACAAGATATATTTACAATTAAAAATTACAAGATATATTTAAAAATACATTCGAATTACTCTAAAAATTTTAACTTTTTTTCCTCCAACTCTAACTGCAAAATTTCATTCTTTAGTTTCAATGAAGATATTTCGTGTTCATGCTTTTCTTGAGCACGCATTTCTTCGTTTTCATGCTTCTCCTGAGCACGAATATTCTCGTTCCTGTAAAAGCTCTGTTGTAAAAGAACAAGTTCAAGTTTTTCTTCCTCAAGGTTGCGTTTTCTTTTGCCGCCGTGAACCAGTTCTTTCGATTTAGGCTTTTTTAAAGTCTGTGGGCAAAAGTCGGTTGACCAGTCTTTTCCTTCTGTTGAAACATTCATGGGATTGTTCTAAAAAATATAAACATAAAACATAATATATAAAACATCAATTGTCACTAAAAATTTACTTAAAGTATTACAGAATTGCCTTCTCGAAACCCCATGTAAATCGCTAAGAGCAAGTAATTTAAAATTTTCCAACTTCTAGAATATTACCTAGCTAGTGGAACGATCTTCTTTATTGTATAATCAACTAAAACTTGTTCGTAGATTTACGGTGGGTTTTGTCAACAAATCAAGAATTTGGTCTGTTCCAGAACAGCAAGAAGGTAATAGTTTTCACTACACGATAACAGATCTTCCCTTTATGATATCGAATAAAATTGCAAAACTAGTAGATTCTTGCAGGTACTGGAACAGAGCAATTATTATGAAACTTACATTTTCTTTATTGCTTGCCTCAATAGATTCATTAGATGCATTTAGCTCACTGTAGTCAATGTAATCAGGTTCAACAACTGCAAGAGAAATACCAGTAAGTCATAAAATTGCTCAGTGTAGCATTTTGTACAAAGAACTTACCAAAATCACTATCATACGTATTTTCCAAGCCTGTTGCGGAATCTCCTAGCATGGATGCTATTTTTTTCGAAACAGCAGATACTTTACAAGTCACCATTCCACCACCCGTACGATATGTTTCCAACTTCTGTTCTGCCAGTTCAATCTTTGACTTACGTTTTATAACCTCGTATTTATCACGCAGTGCTTTCCAAGGTCGTCGTAATCCCATACTGGCTGCGAAGTCGTCTTCAATTTTCTTCCAAACTGCTTCTTTCTGCTTCCAAACGACAGAGTCAGACTTTTTGTTCTTAATAATATGCTTGTGGTCATCTACCAAGTTCACAAGCAACATTTCCTCTTCTTTTAAGAAATTTTTGGCCCGTTTTCTATGACGGGCTTCCGTTTGGTTATCCATTTTCGATTCACTTTTTTGCAGAAATTTATTTTACGAAATTAAGTCAAATTCTTTTTGTTTATTTTTGTTCTAACTAAAATAATGATGCCACTTTGAAAAAAATGCAATGACTACCAGTTACATCTACAAAAAAGTAATCATTGAGAGCAATTTATTGCCATATCTCTGAAAAAAAAAGGAATTATTTTAAAGGAAGGTTGTAATAATGAAAGTCCCATAAAGTGAACGTTATCCTTCACTTTTCCTAAAGTAAGGTATAACAAAAGTGAACTATAAAGGTAAGATATAAGAACGGGCCTTAGAAGACTTTCCAAGAGAATTTTAGTTTTATTTAATTCTTTGGTTCCTCTTCTATTGAGCTTACGATCTCGTCACTTGGGTAAAAAAATGTTTTTTGTCATAGAAGTTATTTTTAAAATAACTTCTGGGGAGAATATCCCAGACAAAAACAAGGGAACTGATGAGGATTGGTGGCTCTTTCCGAAACCTAGGTATTCCCTGCCTTACCCCCTGGTAAACATTACCATCGTTCTCCACTAATAAACAAACGTTGTTTTTAAAAAACAACAATAAAGGGATAAAGCCAGACCATTTTGCAACAAGAAAATACTACGGTATCCCGAACAAACAAGCCACACTGTTCTATATATATATATATATATATATATATATATATATATATATATATATATATATATATATATATATATATATATATATACATATATATATATATATATATATATATATATATATATATATATATTTTTTTTTTTTTTTGCTTTATTTTTTTGGGATTTCTTCGATAGCTTGCCCATTCCACCAACATCATTGCCAGCATTTTTTACTGGCAAATGAAAACCACTTGTACTAGCATCATCAAGAGATATATCACAATTATTTAGATTTGCAAAAACATGTTGATATATATTAAAATCACAGACACGCTGAATTTTCAAGAGCAATAAACTTAGAAGCGTTTAAGTCACAACACCAACCTTTTGCCTTCTGTACCTGTCACAACCGAGATACAATTTGCAAACGGTAAAGTCATATTTGAATGTTAATATATGACTTCACTGGAAACACAAATGCAGATTTCAAAAATTCCACATATTACAAAAGTTATACCTTTTTATACCTTTATACATAAATAGTATGGAGGGTATATTAACTTCATCATTCCGTTTGTAACTCATCGAAATAAAAATTTTAGGCCCAAAAAAGTATAATTTTTCCAGAGATGGGCATAATGCACTGTATTTTTAGTGCACCAATAATTTCATTATCACTCTTCATTTAGTGGTAGTGCAATTTTATATTCCACTACCACTAACGCTTTAAAATTAAATTACATCACCACAAACCATTTAGTGATATTTAAAAAAAAAATGCAGTACCACTAAATTTTAGTGGTAGTGAAATTTCAATAGCACTACCATTAATTTTAGTGGCATTTAAAATAATTGCACTAGATTAGTGGTATTTCATAAAAATAGCACTAAATTAGTGCTATTTAGAAAAGTAATCAAGTTGTATGAATATTTACTATATATTCTGGATTGTTGTTCGCTACTCACTTCAACAAACTTCATGATAGCTGGTATAATACTTATATACATAGTATTTCTTATTTTTTTTTTTCTTTCGGCTTCGCTAAGTTTTGGTGGTAGTGCAAATTTTTTTTGAAAAATCACTAAATTTTGTGGTAGTGCTATTAAAATTTCACTACCTCTAAAATTTAGTGGTAGTGCATTTTTTTAAATTTCACTAAATGGTTAGTGGTAGTGCAATTTAATGGTCTGAAATTCCACACAAGAGTCCCTTGTGAGTACTTTACCCACAGAAAGAATTGTCCATATAGGTCCACGATATCGTATATCTCCCATATGATTTTAGCCAAATTTTTCAACGGAATTGTCTGAAATTCTCCACAAGGAGTTCTTTGTGGTTACTTTACCTCCAGACACAGATTTGACTAAAAAAGTCCACAAATTTTAGCCACATTTTTTCAAAGGAATTGTCTGAAATTGTACACAAGGGCACTTTACTTCCAAAAAGAGAGTTGTCTATATAGGTCCATGATATCGTATATCACATTTTTTAATGGAATTGTCTGAAATTCCAGACAAGGAGTTCCTTGTGAGTACTTTATCTATTGACAGAGAATTATCTATATAGGTCTACGAAATCGTATATCATCCATATATTGGTAACCCCCGATATTCGTAATTTTATGTGGCTAAAACATTTTCAATGAAATTATCTGAAAATCCACACAAGAAGTTCCTTGTAAGTACTTTATCCCTTAAAATACAATTATCTATATAGTTCCACGATATCGTATAGCCCCATATAACGGTACTCCCCGATGTTCGGTATTTTGATGATTTAAGCCACATTTTTCAACGGAATCGTTGGAATTTTACATAAGGAGTTCTTTGTGAGTACTTTACCCCCAGATATAGATTTGTCTATATAGGTCCATAATATCACATATACCCCATATATGGGCACCTTCCGATATAAGGTATTTTAAAGAATTTTGAATGGATTGTTTTTTGAAAATTTTCTAATTCGTTCCTAATGGTGGAGGGTATTCAAAGTTCGGCCCGGCCGAACTTACTGCTTTTTTACTTGTTTGTACCCTTCACCATACATAGTATGGAGGATATATTACGTTCATCATTCCGTTTGTAACTCATCGAAATAATAATTTTAGACCCAACAAAGTATATGTATTCTTGATTAGCGTAAAATTTAGCCCTGTTCGTCGGTCTGTCCTTCCGTTGGTGTAATCATGCTACAGTCAAAACAAGTAAGGATTTGAAGCTAAAATGTTGCATAGATTTGTCTTTTGCTGCAGGCAGGTCAAGTTCGAAGATGGGCTATATCGGTTAACGATATAACGGTAGCCACAGTTTTCAATGGAATTTTCTGAAAATCCGCACAAGGAAGAGTACTTCATTCATAGAAGTTAATTGTCTATATAGGTCTACGATATCGTATAGTCCCCATGAACCAGTAACCCCCGATATTCGGTATTTTGATAAAATTACCTTTGCAGGGCCAAGCCTTCGTATTCCCCCTATATAATGGTTTTCATTTGAGCGGTATTTTCTGATGGATTTTTTTGTGCTAAGCGAGCACAACTCAGCACAATTTACCGCATCTCGATATTTGATATGAATTGCAGATTTTAAAAATTCTATATATTACAAAAGTTATACATTTTTTTTTAATTTTTAGCAAGTAACGAGTAAAGGTGGAAATTCGTTGTGTATGGACGAAAAACTCAGCACAATTTACCGCATCTCGATATTTGATATTTGACACTTGCGAACTTTTAAAATTTAACGCGCACGGGATTTTAGGATAGTTATGAATTTCTTCATAAAGAAGTGGTTCTACGAATTACTTTTCAAAGATCTAATGGCGCGAGAACCGATTCGGAAATTATGTGCTTTGATTTCTGGTTTCATACTCGGCCAAATTTTTGTAAGATCTATTGTAAATCTGAAACAATTATTGGATGTGGAATCAAGAGAGGCATTTGTCAGAAACGATGAGTTGCTCGGAATCTCTATATTGAAAAAGTTCAATAATTCTGAATAAACATTGTATCGGTTCAATTTAAGTATAGTATAGTATATAAGTTAACGACCGGAACATAATGAATTTTTAACAAACAACACAAAATCA